AATCAATGTAATGAAACAAGTTATATGAATGGTTGAATGTGAAACTGATGATGTGCCCTGTAAACTTTCACTCAATCCACAATAAAAACCTTAAATAAAAATTTTAAAAAAAATTGAAAGGGAACACACAAGCAGGCATGTAAGCTTCTGGTAACTACATTGGTCTACATGTGACTGGAAGCGTGGGAAAGGCAGTGATGAAGATACTGGCTGAGTTCTACGACATTCCATAGACTCCTATCGACATTGAGATGAGAGAAAGAAGAAGGGCTGGTTGGTTCAAAGTTTGCGGAGACTTGGGAACTCCTGAGCACATAGACACTGACCTATCCATGGAAGGCTAGAGCTAAGAGTGAAGTCACCAGCTGATAAGAAGTCTGGGGAGACGCACAAGAATACCCAAACTTGCAGATAGTACCTATTTGACTTAGCTTCAATGGCTTGATAATCAGAACTTGACAAGAGGAAGATAAAGAAATTTGATAAAGGAAGGAAGTGTAAATTGCTACAATTTGATGAGCTTGATCTATATTTATGGATGTTGTTGTTGTTGTTGTATGCCGTGGAGTCAGTTCCGACTCATAGCGACCCTGTACAGGGTTTTCGAGGCTGTAAATCTTTACGGGAGCAGAACGCCTCATCTTCTCTTGCGGAACAGCTGGTAGTTTCGAACTGCTGACCTTGAGGCTCGCAGCCCAATTCGTCACCACTGTGCTACCAGAGCTTCTTATATTTATGGATGTAGTAGCTCAAAATACCAACCAAGAGGGAGGGAAGGAGTCTTCTCATCAAGGATCAAGCCTATCCCTTCTATACACAAGGTTGATAGGATGGGGATTTAGGACATTGGTTACCTAAAATGAGGGGAGGCTGTAAAGGCACCAAGTGGCTGGCTTACACATTTTTAAGAGGGAATTTAGTTTCAGAGTGTGCAGGGGAAGGTTGAATCCCCACTAATTCATTTCATCTTGTCTAGATGGGTCTGGTGAAAGGAGATGGGGATAGGATTCATTTGATTCAGTAGTAATTGTTATAACAGTTGTGATTGTCATAATTTTAAATGTAGGAGTTGTGTAACAAAAATGGGGGAGTAGTTAATCTTACATCCAAGAAGAGAGGACCCTAGGACCATCAAGACAGAAGAGCATGAGCAGAACATGGGACCCTAACCAGAGAAGCAGTGACACCAGAGATTGAGGCAGAGGTGATGACATAGAGAAATGGAACAGCTGAGGACTCTAGACTCATGACAAGAGAAAGGCTGTGTGCTGGCAGCCAGGAGGCTGGCTTGCATAATGTGCCCTTTGGTTGTTTAAATGACTGTGTATTCCTTCTGTTTTTGTATACATAAAACCCAGAGGGAATAGATAATAATAAATACTGTTAACTGATGATGTATGGAGGGGATAATAATCATTGCAACAAAATATGATAGGTTGAGTGTAAAACTGATGTTTTCCATGTAACCTGTCACTCAATTCACAATAAAAGCTTTTTAAAAACTTGTAATGTTCTGTTTATCTTTATGGTGTTTTTAAACAGAAGATTAAAATTTTAAAGTCAGCTTTATCAACAGTTGGTATCAACAACATTTTTGGTTTTATATTTAAAATGTTTTGCTCTACCTGGTTTTAGAGTAAGATGTTGTTGTTGTTGTTAAGTGCTGTCGAGTCGGTTCTGACCCATAGCGACCCTGTGCGGGGTTTCTGAGGCTGTAAATCTTTACAGGAGCAGAACGCCTCATCTTTCTCCTGTGGAGCCGCTGCTAGTTTCGAACTGCTGGCCTTAAGGTTCGCAGCCCGATTTGTAACCACTACGCTACCCTTAGAGTAAGATAGTCAAGTTAAATCATAAACTGTAAGTTTACTTATAGGATGTGGTACTATAGGATAAGCACTGGCTGCTACCAGAAAAGTTGGCATTTCAAACCTACCAGCTGCTTTTATGGAATCCTATACAGGGTTGCTGTGAGTTGGAACTGACTTGATGGTACTTAACAAGAACAACAACTTTCTTAGGTAATAATTGCCCCAGTGTTCATGGCTGAAAACAAGTGTTTTCTAAGGATTAGGAATCTGAATGACTCAGCTAGGTAGTTCTCAGGTTCTTTGACAAGGCAGCATTTAAGATGTTGAGCAGAGGCTTACTAAAGAATAAGCTGTTTCTAAGCTCAGTGCTGTGGGGTAATGCACTGGACTGCAAGGTCATTTGAACCACAAGGTTGGCAATTCAAATTCACCAGCCGCTCCCCAGAAGCGCTGTACAGGGTTGCTATGAGTTGAAACCAACTCGACAATGGCACTTCACAACAACAAGTTCACTTATAAGCCATGGTGTGGCATTATGAGTTAATGCACTGGACTGCAAAGTTGGTTTGAACCACAAGATCAGTGGATCAAGCTCACCAGCTGGTCCTCAAAAATCCTGTATGGGGTCGCTGTGGGTTGAAACTGACTCAGCGGTACTTAAAAATAACAACAAGCTGCTCAGTTATGTTAGTCAACTTAAGTTCCTTGAAATGTGAACCTCTCAACAGAGCTGCCTCACAACCTGGCAATTTTTTCTTCCAGAAAGATCAATCCAAGCAAGAGCAAAAGATAGCACCCATGACAAAGTCACAGTCTTTATAAGTTTAATATTTTCTCACTTCTGCTGAGTCCAGCCCACACTAAAGGGAAGATTATAAAGGACATGAATAGTAGGAGGCAGGAATCATTGGGGACCATCTTAGTCACGGATTGCCACATTATTCTAATAGACCAAACAGAACTAAGTAAATAAGTATATATATAAAGAAATTAACTTTAAGTGACATTGATATTTATTAATGAAATATATAACATTTGGTAATTTCTAATTTCTATTTAGTATATGTTACTATTATTAAAAATCATGTATGCCCAATATCAATAGACATTTACTCTATTCCTTAACATAAAATGGTAAACTTTTAAATTTATATTTTTGTCATTGCACTAAGGCTTACTAATGGATTTCCCCCTTAAAATTACATTATTTGCAAGTACATATTTTGACATTGTCACCACCAACTTATTTTTCATATAATGTTCAGGATAGAAGGGCCATTAACTTAAAATCAATAGTTGGTTTTGGCCCACAGGGAGCAGGGCTGTGGTAATGGAGTGTCAGTATGGGCCAAGGAGAAAAGGTTTCCAGTTAAAAAAAATCAATGAGCAGGAAAGCAGGTCTTGTCAGCTCTACAAAGCTACTTGTCCAGCCCGGTAAGCTTCCTTTTCTTTCTTTTTTATTAAGTGCTTATTTATTTATTTATTTAAGTACTTATTTTTGAATAGCTAGTACATGTACAATTTTATTTAAGCTTAAACAGCACTAAAAGTTATACAGTAAGCACTAAGTTTTCTTTTACCTCTATTCCTTATGTCCCTCTTTAAGACAACTCTTTCCAGTTTCTTAAGTAGCTTTCCAAAGATATTCTTTGTCTATACATTCATATGGATTTTCCCTTCATAAAATTTTTTTAGAATCTCAGTAATGTTTACTCATATTTTATCTCCTTGAATTTATGTATTAATACAACTTATTTTCTGCTATGAGTTCACACTGATATGAGTTCACATTATATGAGTCCCAGTCTGAATGCCTTTATTGGTTATTTACTGCAGTGTTACAAATTATTATGAATGTAATGGCATATACTACTTATTCCCAAAATGTTGTAGAAACGGTTCCATATTAGTACAAAAAAGCACTGTCTCTTTTTAGTAGCCATATAATATTTCTTTTAAGGATGAATCATCCAACAGCAAAAGACTTTTTTTTTAAATAAACCATCATTTACTTAATCAGCTCTTTAATGATAGATATACAGGTTATGAAAGGTATTTTTTACTACTAAATGCAAAGCTGCAGTTAATAACATTGTACCTATTTGTACAATGGTACAAATATATCAGTAGGATACATTCCTAGAAATGAAATTGCTAGGGTAATGATTTTATCTTTGAAATATAAATAAGTTAGAATTATGTAAGAAATGCCTTGAATGCTGTCAAGAATTCTGTATTTGGTTATACTGTAGAGAGATTCTTTGAAGTAGAAATACAAATTTGAATAATTATTGAACATTGATGTACCAAGTGGATTTAAGTAGTGAAAGGTCCATAAGGAGGCTATTAAAAGAATTCATTCATGAGATGTAATATTTTTGGCATCCAGGAAAACAGGAAAGTAAAAGGCAAATCCAGAAAAAATGTTAAAACCCATAAATAATTAGATCTTTTTACTGAAACACAATTATTGATAATTTGCTAAGTACTGTTTTCACATGAGAATACAGTCTTTCACATAATCCTGGAATGCTTTCTAGATTAAATGTAGATTGGATTTTCTCTACATTTAAGTGTTTGAAGTAATATAATAATTATGATGAGTAAGTTCAGCTTTCTTGACATTGTACTACAATGAAACACCATCTTCTTTATTTTATAAAAGGATATATATAAAAAAGGTACAGAAGTTTCCTGAATATAGAGTTCCTACAGACCCCAAAATTGACAGAAAAATAATCAGAATGGAGCAAGAAAAAGCCTTTAACATGCTAAAGAAGAACTTGGTGGATGCTGGTGGTGTTCTCAGGTATGGCATTTATATCGTTCTATTACTTACATATTTTCTGTGAGATAATTATGATTATGTTTTTCAGTTATTTCATTAAGAAATGGTGTTAGGAGGTAAATATCTCATTAGTAATTTTGTTGATAAGCACTGAATTTATCAGCCCCATATTGTAGATAATTCTGTCTATAAAGAATTCTACTTACCATATAGAAATTTTTCCAAAATGGACAAATACTTTTATATTGAACAGCACAGTTCACTATATGTGTATATTTAGTAATTTACATCAGATACTTAATATCAGGATTTACAGCCACCTGGAATTTTTTAACCCATCTTTGATTACTTATAAAGAGCTGTATGACACATTGAGTTAAGTGTTGGGCTGCCAACCAATCGGTGGTTCAAATGAGAAGGAACCACAGCCACACCAGGGGAGAAATGTGAGGCTATCTGCTTCCATAAAGATTTACAACCTCAGAATCCTTATGGAGTAGTTCTACTGTATTTTATAGGGTCAACTGATTCAATGGCAGTGCGTTTGGATTACTTATGACAGCCAGAAATGAACTCTTAAGTCCTAAATCAAAATTGTTTTATACTTTTGCTTCAGGTTTCAAATACAAGGGAATATTTGTTTTCTTTTTACTTTCCTTTATGTGTCAGTTCAAGTAAAGATTTTGCTACTGCGCAATGGGATTAACTATAGATTTTCTGTGATCTCTAAAACAATTATTAGATATATGAAAAATGAATGGAGTCAATAATAAATCCTTCAATTTGGAAACATTATGTTTAATTTTTCAGTAGGCTCCATTTCATGCAATATCAGTCATTGTAAGCATTTTGTACAAAAATATCAATTAAAATGGTATTACACCAGATTTTTTCATCTTCCTAGCATCTGCTTTTTTCACTACAGTAAAAGAGACCTGTATTCACCTTTTAGTTGATCTCTCTTGCTCATGGGCCAACAGGAGCTGGGAGTGCTGTGGAAGCAATATGTTGAGCTCCTGTGAGAGAAGAATCTCCCACATAGCACAGTCATGACAGGCTGAAATATATGCTCTTTGTTTGGAAGGATGGTAGGTGCAACACAGAGGCGTAATTCCCGACAAAATGGTAGATAAATGGGAAAATACATAATTCAAAAGATGATGATTTACTGTATGTTTTGAGGTAACATTTACTTAATGTGAAATGTAATATGTTTTTTATATATATACTGAAATCGCTATTCTCCCCTACTCAATTTTTAGGCCATAGTAAAATGTATAAAGGTTTATAGACTTTTATTTAATTGGGTATGAATCTAATTTTTAGAAGAGTAAATCAGAAAACCATTTAAATTTTATTTCATATGTGTAACCACATATGATTTTAATTAAAATGTTATCCCTTCTCTTTATAAGTATTGACATACATGATTATGATTCTTATCTTTATCTAATAAAATAATTTTAAACATTTTCTCTTATCAGGTGGTATGTACAATTACCTACACAGCAGGCTCATCAATATCATGAATTAGAGACTCCATGCCTTTCTCCTTCACCTTCTTCTTTTCCTATGTCTTCTCTCGAAGAAGAAGAAAATACCATTAGAGATGAGAATTGTGCATTGCCCTCACGTCTACATCCTCAAGTAGCATTTAAGATTCGAGAATTAGTTACACAGGGAATAGAACAAGTATATGCAGTAAGGAAACAACTAAGGTACAGCAGAAAAATGTTTTTACATTTTTGTTTGTTGGTTTCAATACTATACTTAGTATTATAGACATTTTCTAGGATATATGCTATCAGAATAGATAAAGAATATAATTTATTAAAATAATGCTATTAACGATTGGTCATTTTCCAGCAAATGCATGGTAAGTAGCAGTATAATATAGCTTATTATGATTCTGATTATTCATTTGAGACATTCCATTTTTAGTTTGGTAAATTGGACTACATATAAATGGTATATGGATTGAATTATATATCAAATATTTTTATAGTGACAAACTTTGTAGAACCAAAGTTTTATTTTTTTAACTTGTAAATTGAGTGAAGGTTTTCAAAGATGATTTTCAGTTTTAATTAAACAAATAATATACTTTGATTCATTACAATCCCCTCCATGTATCATCAATTAACAGTATTTACATCTATTCACTTTACCTATTGCATTCCTCCCTATATCTCCTGCTACCATTATCTTTCCTCTGCTAACCTCTCTCATTGTATATTGCTTGCCCTGTCACCCATGTTAACATGTGTCTACCGTCTAACTTATAATTTTTCCTTCACCTTGTCCCCATTACCATTATAGATTTTTTTTTCTTAAATGTTTTATTGTGAATTATGTGATAGTTTACATGGGAGGATATTAGTTTTACATTCATTCTATCATATATCATCTCATTGCTATGGTTACAGTCCCCTCCATGCATTATCAGCCAACCAAAGGGTATACCCTGCAATCCTGCCCCCCATGCCCTCTAGGTCTTAAGCGCACATCCCTCTCCCTCTCTGGATCTAAAGTCCCCAGCTGCTCCATCACTCCACGTCATTGTCTCTGCCTCCGTCTCAGGCATCACTGCTTCTTTGGGTAGGGTCCCGCTCTCCGCTCTTCTCCCTTGATGGTCCTAGGGACCTCCGCTGCTAGACTGGAAAGTTAATCACTCCCCTCCTTGCTATAAAACATCTATCTTTACATTTCCAACCCTCACAATCAGTCCTGATAAC